TGGGTACCCAAGCATGGACCCTCTGGTGTAACTGTAATAAACTAGTCATTGAACGCGTGATTCCTTGCCGTGTGACTGATGCGATCTACAAAATGTGTGGCTTCTTACAGCTTTGCAGACCGCTTAACAAGCGGAGAGATCGGGACGCCATCGACTTCATCATAGCTGGTCTTCGTTCTTCGGCGTCGGCATTTGCGCCTCCTCCGCCACCACCACCACCACCACAACCTCCCGAGCCGGATTAGCTTCTTTTTAGCTTTGTTTGGGGCTTGTCTTGCTGTGCCCCCAGCGTGACTTTGACTTGATTGTACTTTGTACTGTTATGTTGGATGCTTGGTTCGTTGCTTTATAATATAAAGCGGGGAAAAACCCTTTTTCTTAAAGACATAGTCAAAGATAATAGAAGACAATCCAGCATTTTGACGAGAGAGTCATCATGGACCGACTACAAAAATAAAGGTCCGTGAAAGTACCTACACCACTGACAGGTCACCTCTCAGTGAAATACCATGGCTGACACCTTGACTCATCGCTTATTTTCTATTCCCTCCGAATACAAGGGTCATCTATTTTGAAAGGGAAGAAGTATATATTAGCCCATCTGTGATAACTATCTAGTCAAGGCTTCACCGACATATCGCTGATGCGAATTTCATGGTCGGTCAATGATGAGCCTCACCTTTGACCAGTGCACGCTGACCGGTCAGTGATGAGGGGTTAGTATTGTTTGCACCTATAGTTGGATATCGAATTCTTCATGATTCTATGGTAGCTTACACCTTGTCAAACCATTGATGATTTAATTTACTGCCTTTGATTTTATTCTAATGGATGTATAGTTGCTTTTAAAATTGTTTTTTTTTCAGTGGAAATACTTAAGAAGTTTCATGTCCGCTATCATTTTTGAAGGTTGTCTGTTTTAGTCTCACATGAGAGGAAAACTTTGTTTTCGCCACTCTAGTTTTTGTTCGCTTTAGTTATGCTATTCTAGAATTTGACATCTCACTTTTCCTATACTTAGATTTTGACAATACATCACAAATGTCATTCCGTGACAATAGCAATAATGTTTAATTTCACTTTTGCTAGTCTTAGCTTTTGACAATGTATCATAATTGCAATTCTGGAAATTTTGCTTTTGTCATGGAATGACAATTGTGATTATTATCAAAAGCTAAGAGTGACAAAAGTGAAAAGTCAAATTCTGGAGTGGCATAAGCAAAATTGTCAAAAGTTCGAGCGGCAAAAACAAAGTTTTCCCGAGAGGAAGATAGGAAAATCTTCATTCATTGAATTGTTTTTAATTATATTCAAAAACGGATTTCTCGTGGTCAAATGATAAAGTGGACGATTGATCATACATAAATCTTTGTTGTAATTTGTGGGTGCATACAGAGTTGTTGGGAGGATCAGGGCGAGGTGTGGGGGTTGGACTCCACTTGCAATAGCATTAGCACCTACCTAATCGCCGATATTCCTTTTCGAAGAAAAAGGAAATCGCCGATATGTTGGACCACACGACGATGCATGCAAGCCACAGTGCAGGAGGAAATAGTATCGTTGAACAATGACTTGGGGTTTCAGTTCAGTGCCAGCCGGAAGACCGATATTTATGCTTAATTTAACTGTGAGTGCAGATAGAACAGTACGGTAGGTATGGACTGACATGCTGTTGTTGCAATATTCCAACCGAAGTTTCTAGACCACCTTATTTATTTTCGAGAACATTAGACAATTGGTCCCAGTGTCCTTTCAAAAATACATGTTACAAAATGACTTCGGTTTCAGTTCAGTGCTCACACGCACACTTACGTCTGAAGTTTTCTTCAGACATACTCAACATGTTTGGAAGGACAAGACAAACGCAGCAATCTCAATAGAAATTTGGAAACAAATTTTATTATTTCAGTCCATGTTCGTCGTTTTAACCGAAAGGAACCATTGAAAAAGAAAAGAAAAACCATGAAAGAAAAAGCATGGAAATGCAAAGATCGGGAACAAGGACTCTCAAGGATGGTTCAAATCTTCAATCCTGTGGATGCAGCATCTGAGGCTGGAACATCACTTGTCCTTGGTTGGGTAGGAGGCCATCTTGTTGATGCCGCAGAGGCCCTCGCCGTTGCTGGTGCCCCTCTTCATCCTGATGTAACCCTTCTCGCCCCAGTCCGCACCCCACGAGTTCCTCACGATGATGTAGTCGTGGCCCTTCCCCTTGTCCGACCCGTACCCGACCGCCGCCACGCCGTGATCTAGCTGCGCGCCGCAAGGACCATCGAAAACCCCCTGCAACAACCAAGAAAGGAAATGGTTTCATATCCCAACTTCTTTTCAAAGATTGAAATCCAACGTGAGGTGACAACATGTGATGTGGGGCCACACGGCAGGCCACATGGCAGTGACACGTTGGATGGTGTTTTCCGTTGCTAGAAAGAGTGACACGTTGGATGGCTGTGTGCATCCTCTAGGCCGGAGCACTCCCATTTTCGAAAGAAAAAGAAAGATGATATGCTTACCCCGCTGTAGAACTGGAAGTGCCTGCCGGAGGCCTCGATGGCGACGGAGACGGGCTGGTGAGCGAGAGCCTTGATCAGCGCCTGCCCGTCATTGGCGGGCACGTCCTCGAAGCCGCTGATCGTCACTGCCTCGGACTCTGCCTTCTTACCGTCGCCGCAGCTGCCTTCTTCCATGAGGTAGGGGTACGCCTCCTCGGTGTGCAGCCCGCCACTGGATGCGATGTAGGAGAAGGCGTAGTCCATCAAGCCGCCATTGCAGCCGCTGTTGCCATCGACACTGCAGTCGATCAGCTCCTGCTCCGACAGCGCGGTCAGGTTGCCTGTCACGATGGCGTTGATCCCTTCCACCGCCGCGACCGTCGAGAAGGCCCAGCAGCTGCCGCACTGCCCCTGGTTCTTCACCTCTGTCACCGCGCCCTTCTTCCTCCAGTCCACAGACTTGGGCAGGTCGCTGGCGCTCACGTCCTCGTACCTGAAGCTCCGGCTGCTGCCCCGACGAGCCGGAGCAGCATTGAGGCCGAGGTAGGCGGCCTTGAACTCGTCGTTGGTGAGGTCGGCAAACTCGTTGAGGCCGAGCCAGTAGCTGGTCACTTCCCGGTTGATCTTGTCGATGTGCTTCAGGTTGTCCTTGAACACCTCAAACTTGTGCAGCTTCTCCTCGAAGCTCGCGTACGCCTTCTGGTGCTTGGCCAGCCACTTCTCAAACAGCTCGACGAGTCTGTCGTTGGACGACAGGTCCTCCTCCGAGTAGCCGACAATGGAGAAGTCACTGTTGCGAGCCACACACACGCCGACACAGAGGAGGAGAAGAGCACCCGAAAGCTTCAGCAAATGCCGAGGAGAAGCCATGGTTGATGCCTGGAATGGAAGTGTTGGCGGTCGGTTGGTTGCAGGATGGAGGATAGGATGCATGTATTTGTAGTCTCAGTTTGGGCATGCCATTGAATTGCTTCAAAGCAAAGTCAAACGGAGAAAAGATAAGATGCACCATTGAGTATTTTTCTGGATCATGCCAAGGCTTTAAGCTTTGATTCTGACGGCGAGACTTCGCTTCCAAGCATGTATGCTAGGTTCAGAGTGAGCACCTCTTTCTGTTTGTGGTGCCTGCAAAAAAGTTTGGAGGAAATCTTAGTGCTTCTGGACCTCACTGAAAGCAAAATCTTAGTGCATATACCTAAAGAAGAAGAACGTGTATGCAACCTGATGGGTGAACTATCAGTGTGAAGAGGTTGTCATGAGTCTTTTCCATGGAAATGTTTCTTGTCTCAGCAAGCTGAAAATAGTAACGTACAATGTTTTCTACCATGTGTTCACCAGATTGCTTCAGAAAAGTAGTCATGTGCCTTTGCTTAAAAAATATGTACCTTCTGAAAGAAAGTAAGGAAATGTTATCTCCTCGTGACTACACTTGCTACTTGGAGTAAAAGAGGGGCATCTGGTCATCATACTGTGTCATGTGCATACAGCGACATCATTTTGTGACATACTCATTTCTCTTTTTAGACCACATAAAAAGCCAAAGCAAGCTAATGCATGCAAGGTAATTCTTTTGTTGGTTGCTTTTAGCTTTGCAGGAACATATTTCTTTGATGCACAATGTTGTATAAACATTCAGGAAAAGGCATAAACTGATCTTCTGCTGGTATTAGTTTGCTGTCAAGCAGTTCAACATGTGTATATCTATACCCTTGGTTATCCATCACGTCATCTATACTATGTATAACTTTTCTTGTGGATCCGCTGATGATACGCTTGGGTGCCGGATCTTCATGAATTGGTGGAGTGATTGTATGAATATGAATTTCAATATGGATTTGTAGTGTGACTACGTTCTTGTTGCTCATGTGTGATCATGTTACAACTTTATCTGTATGTTATGTCATTGGTTCAGCCAGATTACATTTCTTTTGAGATCGCCTGATGGACCATTACGTAATGTATTAGTTTTGATTGTGATGAAGTGTAACTTAAACTTCAAACTATGTTTGAATTTTAGTGTGCCAAAATCTTAAGGTGAGCAAACAACCTATGATCTTGAAGGACCAGAAATCTGAACGGCAGTGCACTTAGGCATTTCTTACTTTTTGCCCGTATCAACACACGGATATTTTGCTAGTGTATGGTAAGAGTGTCTGTGGCAAACTCCAGCGATCATACTGGGATGCTGATCTATATCAGTATTCTTCCCACACTACATCCCGCTGACAACCTTCAGCATCTTGTACCTCAATGACTTCTAGGAGTTGAGGACTTGTCTAGGACTGAAAGTAAATATGTGGATACATGGGGGTCACCAAAACTAATGCAAAGTTATACGGTATCCCTCAACAACAAAAAAGAGCACATGATTTGGTGGTTCACATTAAACTACATTGAAAATCAGGCATCACCAGCAAAGATGGGAGCAGAGTAAACAGAAAGAAGCATAAACATCACAAGTGTATCTTTTAGCAAGGACATTGTTCCAAACTATGTCAAACTTTTGTATTAACATGATATCTGCAAACTCGAAATTAGCACGAAAAACATGTCAGTTTCACCACTATGACCTAGACGGTTGGATCCCATCTATCCAATGTTCAAATGCATCACAGTGGCACCTGGCAACTATTATACATCCTTGACATTGCAATCAAGTACCCTTCACCTTATTCATACATTCCACAAACAATGGTAGTCCAAGCACTAACTACTAGCTTCGTCAAACGGCAGGAGTGTCTGGACTACAGATTCCATGGTTGGCCTCTTGTTTCTATCTTCCTGCAAGCAGGAAACAGCCAACTTGATCATTGTTCTTGCTTGGACATAGCTGAATCGTCCACCCAATTCAGGGTCAACAAATTCATTAATCGATGATTCTTCATGTCCTCCCAGTTTATCAGCAAGCACCCTGACAAGCTTCTGCAGCATGCTATGCACCTCTGCACCTGAACCTACAGCCATCTCTGAAACTCTTGTCCCAGATAAAAGCTCAAGCAAAACAACTCCGTAACTATAAACATCGACTTTCGCCGTGATTGGGAGGCTTGAAACCCACTCAGGAGCTATGTAACCTATCGTTCCTCGCACCTGCGACAAGTTCTGTGTGGCTCCGCCTCTGTTTAGCAACTTTGCCAACCCAAAGTCAGTGATCTTAGGCTCAAAGTTTGTGTCCAACAATATATTCTCAGGTTTCACACCACAATGGATGACCCATTCTAAGCACTCATGGTGAAGATAGGCCAATCCTTTCGCGACACCCAATGCGATATTAAACCTTTGCTTCCAGTCCAACACGACAGTTTTTTGGTCATTGAACAAAATGTTTGCCAGGGATCCGTTCTCCACGTACTCACAAACCAACAGCCTGTGTGATCCTTCTGAGCAAAACCCCCATATTCTGGCCAAATTCATGTGGTAGATCCTCCCAATTACGCTCAGCTCAGCTTGAAACTCTTCCTTGCCTCGACTTACATTTTCCAGCTTCTTCACAGCCACTGGCCTTTCATCTTCTAGGACACCTTTATACACAGTGCCTGAGCTTCCCCTTCCTAGCTCAACTCTGAACTTTCTTGTTGCCTCAACAAGCTCTCTGTAACTGTATCTTCGAAAATGGCTAGTCATCATCCTGTAACCTTCCTCAGCAGCCCACATTTCTGATGGCCTCATCTCTCTTCTCAAGACAAAGAACCATGCGAATGTTATGAAAGAAACCTCAAAAACAAAAATTGCAACTATGAAACTGTAGAAGTACAACCAATTTAATTCTTCATCTCCAGTTTTGTGCAAATCTGGAAATGGATATCTGATTCCTCTGCTCATCTGATTGCAGTCGAGACGAGGAGGCGCAGGATCCAATACATTGGACTGAGGAATAGGTGTATCTGAAACATTCAACCTGGCAGGAAGTTTGAGATATATTGTTCACACGCTGGGTGTCGCGCAGCTCTTTCCATTGAAAAGAAGAGCTTTCGGGTAGCATGACCCTGCACCTTGCTGGTATTGAAAGCCTTTGCAGGTGCAGTCACTGATGCAACTGTTCCTACAAGTCTCAAAGGAAACTCCCAGAAGGCGCTTCTGATCAGATCCCCAGAAATCCGTGTGCGGGAGTTTCACAAACTTCATAGGTTCCTGATCATGACATGGTATGTTGAAACTAGCCGTGCAGCCTTGGGTCCAGTTACCCGGGTTGGTCATCACATAACCCGGTGGGCATGAACACGTTGGTTCAGGCGAGTAATGACAGATTCCATTCTGACCGCATATACCATGGATAGTACAAGGTTGGGAGATTGCTACCATTGAAACTGACCACACCCCATCTGAGTCGTTCAGGCTGTACAGCCGGAGATTACCATCAGGGTCAAGAGTTAGCCTTCTCCTAATCCCTGGCGCTGCATCAGAGGCCTTAGGTAGCACTCCATCAGCAAAATCACTAGATGCAAGGATCCCATTATTGTCTAGAATTGCCAATCTAGTACTGTTATACCGGCTTCTGTTATTTTCGTACACACTGTTATCAGGGTTTGGCCAGTATATATCCGAAACCTCGGGAACATCATATATAAGTGACAGCACTGATATATCATTGAAACGGAAGATGTAGTTACCAGGAGCACGCGACTGGGTTGTTGGGACCAACTTTGTCGCAGCCGTGATGCACTGGGCTGGTAGGAGCGTGTCTGTCGGTGAATCGAAACTTTGCCATATTATCGTACCACTGGTGTTCTTCATTACGAGATTCCCAGTGTCCAGCAGCTGAACATGCTGAACATTTCTGTGGGAGTTTCCATCATCATCAGCTTGCCACACAACCGCGTCATCGTAATCTGTGAGGACCATGTTGCCATCCTTGTGCAAGGTCAGGGCTGACCTCCTGGAGTGGACGGGGCGGTCGCGGTTCGCACTCCAGACGACGGTCTTGTTGGCTGCCTTGGAGTACCATATTGAGAAGGTGAAGGCGTTGTCATAGACGCCGTAGAAGCCACAGGAGAAGCTGCCATCCGGTGATTGCAGGATTTCACTTTGGTAGGCTTCAACGGCGAGGGAGGTTCCCGGTCGCAGTATGTCTCGATTCGCAGCGCTCGAGACTAACATGAAAAAGGAGAGAAGGGAGACAGTGGCAAGGTGTGTTGGAAGAGCAGGAACCATGGTTGCAGAGGTAGGAGCCCCAACTGACGGCCTGAACAAGTACCACTCGTCTATTTAAGGTGAGTTTCTGTCTCAATCCTAAAAGGAAAATATCAATCCAAAGTGAAATTCATGCTGCTACAGGGTTTCAACTCCTTAAACATCTAAAAGTTCCAGGGCTGTAATCATGCCAGTGCCTTTGCCTCACAGCCTCACAGGCAGTCCAAGTCAGACTTGCACGCACCGGAGCTAGCCCTGGTAGAGAGTGACACATTTGACCAGATAATCAAAACACTATGCCAGCGTCAAAATCACCAATGAAGGCGGGTTCCCGCGTATCCATTACAGCTGGCTGATTGATGCTTCGATGGTGACTTTGACTTATCTGCATTTGAACATTCAAAGGAACTGACCATGCATCAGGCCTGGATGGTCACTTTCAGGGAACTGATGCCCACGCTCTAGCCCACATAATAGAATCTGCAGCTTCCAGGAATGGAGGCAGTTGACTAATGCCACGTTGGGGGTCCAATATGCCCAATAGAGGGCTCGATTTGGTTTATCAATATTCGGTCAAAACAACTTTTCTGCAGCTAAACTAATAAAACGAGTTTCTAAATAAGCACCTAACAAGCTAGCGAGGGTTCAATTAAGTTTGTCATGCAAACGATACCCAACGCACACAATCTAGAGAGTAAGATAAATTAGTTAGAGGCATATGGTGGCATACAATTCGACTGCCCGTACAAGAATAAGAATGTTGATCATGTTAGTTTATGTCATGCTTATAAGACCGGAGGAGAATAAAAGCAAATCATCAGCTATGAAATTGATTGTCCAGATCCTCCATTCGGCTGATGAAGCTAGAAGTACAATGAAGCAACGCTCTCGTAATAAAGTTCATGTTTGATCTGTAGACACTTATATTTGGCTATTTTATATACTGTAACACAAAGCAAGAAGTTGGTTCTTCTTTCCCAATGATAATCTTCTGCGATGTTTTGTGGCACGTGATCATATGGTGCCCATTAGTCTAATTGATGACATAATTCATGACGAGAGACGTTGCAAGAAAAACGAGAGAAAGAAAAGAGAGGGACCTTAACCCTCGTAGTCAATTCATCGAGCAGGACGCGTGCAGGATGGCCGAAACGAGCTCCATCCACCACTGTCCCCTGTACCGCGCTCTTGCGTGAGAAGGGCGGAGGAAGAGAGCGGCCATGTCTCGGTGGTCAGGGGAACTCTTGTATCTGGTAAGGACCAGCGCAACGTGCCGCCGCAGGCGCACGGCGACGTTGGTCGGTCAAGCCGGCCGGCGGGAGGAGGGGTATGAACAAGCAAAGGGACGGTTCTTTCCCGAACTCTAAACGCAGGAGGAGGCGCGCGCGACGCCTCTCAGCCGTTGGATCGAGGTGGAAGCCGTATCCGCACCGCCCGTCCTTCCTACGCGATGGCCCCAAGGGTTTATCAATATTCTCAGTCAAAAATCAGGTCTGCTCCTCCCCT